CTTTTTGTCTTATTTTTTTCGTAGAATATGTAACTTTAATATGTACACCCATGACTGGGACACCCATAATAAATTAGAGTTCGTTACATTTTGTTTTTATTTGACGTTAATAATATTAATAAATTTAAAAAAATGTGTATTCATGCAATATTTCAGTAATGAAGATTATGAAGGTTCATCAAAAAGAGCTCAGTACTTGTGCAAAAGCAGACAAAGATTTTGCCAATCATAAAAATAAACCAGAGATGGCAACCGAAAACAGAAGAAATAGAAATTTTTAAGAAACCGAAACCCTTATTATAAAAATTTAAAAACCGTTCTTTCGGATTCTAAATTTTGCTTTTTCAGTTCTTTTCGGTTTTTCAACTTAAAACAAATAGGAATGAGACTGTACAATCATCAAAACAAATAGAAGAAAATTTAATCAACAATGTTTCGATTTCTTACAATTCTTCACAAAAAAGAATTTCTAAAAAATTTTTTGATTTTTGGAAGTCCTAACTTGCGAGCTCTAACTGATCAAGTACTATAAGTTCCATCAACCTAAGTAAGCGTAGAATGCTTATTTTCAAGTCATAAGTTAGTGTTATCTCACCAATCTGTCTTCAGATCTTTTGAAAAATGTGTTACTTATTCGTAAAAATAAATTATTTGCTGCAAAAAATTAATAAAAAATTTCAATAAATAAATAATCTAAATAAATAATCTCAAAGCCACGTATCCCGAAGTAAAACCCCTCCCCCCTCTCGTGGTCAAGAGTAGCATTTTACTGACACCCCCCTCCCCCTAAATGGGCCACGTGGTTTATGGAAGACCCCTTATCAAAATGCAACATTTTTCCTAATCAAAAAGAATAAAATCGACTTGAAACTCGTTACTCGTGGGTTTTTGGGGTAACTGATTAAGAGGCCGGTGTTAGTTTTTCAAAATTCAAAATGGCGGATCCAATATGGGAGACAAAATTTCAAAAATCGTTCGAATTCGCTTGAAATTCTCTACTCGGGGATAAAAGGTTCAAAAAATTAATGCTCTCTTTTTAGCGATTCTGATAGAAAAAACACGCTGTTTGAGAATCCTTAAGACAGTTTCAAGAATTTCAAATTTAATATGGTAAATGAATTTCTTACAATACATCGAATTCATTTGAATTTTTGAGGTCGTTGACACCAGATTTGTAATTAGCAACCCAAAAAACCTCTGAGAAATGAGTAGTAGAAAAATACTATAATCCCTCACAACAAAAGGATATTCAGGATATCCTTGGGACGTCCTGGGGATATCGATTTGTTTTCGGCGGTTTGGATATCCCTGGGATATCTTAGAAATGTCCATGGATATCCAGAGGATATCTTAGGGATATCCGAATCGCCAAAAGCAAATGGATATCCCCAGGACGTCCCAGGGATATCATGAATATCCTTGTGTTGTGAGGGATACATTAAATCTAAATAACAAAAAATTTAAATTCTATATTTTTTTTGTTAAATAATTGTGATTATAATTATAATTTAAAAAAATTCAACAGGTGATTGTTGGTTACGCTAAAAAATAATTAAAATAAGTTAACTTAGCTCTTAAATTTTTCCGTTTTTTTCTCGATTCTCTTTATTAATTTTTTTTCTCAAACATTTGATCTTTTTCGAATAATTTCTTTTCGTCCATTTTTGATGTGTTAAAAAACACTACAACTTAACCATAAATTTTCAATAAATGACAGTTGCTTTACAAAAAATTGCATATTTCATTTAATAATCAGCAACTTCATACTTAATAATGTCTTTCCAATGAATTACGATCGACCGTAATTATTGAAACTTTTCGCATTACCTCTTCAATAAGCTATTTTTTTGAAGCACATGCGCAAATCATTAAATAGCAACCGTGAAAATGTAATATGTAAGCACTTTTGAAATACTTTAATTTAAATTTCGCAAATATCACCCGTATTACGGTCATTTTCAAATTTTTTACACACATGTTTTCCATTATTAAAATTACAATAGTTTTTATAGAGCACGAAGCACATCAATTTAGTATGTCTGAAAATAATTTTAATAACATGAACTTTGATTTCTTACAACTTATTTTGGTGTGCCAATTGTCTTATTAAAGAAAAACTATAAACATGAGGATTAAGGTTGAAAAAGTTAAAAGTGAGGGACAACTTTTGAAAGCTTATAATTTTTTTAACAATTAACAAAATAAAAATTTTCATACATAAATGAGTTTTTCGTTTAATAAACTTTAAATTAATGTATCTTAGAATTAACAATTTTCATTCTTTACAAAGTTTAATAATTTAAAGCGTGAAAAAGTATGGTTGAGAAAAAGTAGACATTGTTGAAAATTACACATAAATAAAATAATTCTGTGTCTACATAATAAATTCATACCAAATATCTCCAACAAAAATTAGATAAAATCTTCTTATAATTAAGAAAATATATCAGAGGGACATAAAAGTCAAAGGTTCCAGAGATAAGCCCATATATTTAAAGCAAATTTTTTCAGAAAATTTTAAAAACTTGTTAAACTAATAATTTATAATGAATCAAATTTGTTTGCACTGGAATATGTATTGTTAAATTTTAAACTAACAATGTTTATTATAACACAATTTTTATTTTTATTTATTTTGATTATTTTATTTTATAAGATATTTATAAACTGAATGTATGTGTATAATATTGAAAACAATAAAATTCTTAATTGCTACAAATCCTTAAAGTTACCGAAATTTTATTTTGGGTACCATAAATATTCACTTGAGATTTTGCTCTACACATTTATGTGCGAAATTTAAAGTCATTTAATTTATGAGTGAAAGAGTAGTTGAAAAATACAATAATTACTTTATAATTTCAAAATTAAATTAATTTGAAATTTGCGCATAAATGTACAAAGTGCAAATTTAATATAAAATATAAATTAATTTCATTATAATCTCATTGTTAGCAATAATTATAATTAAAAGATAATCTAATAATTATTAGCAATAATTATAATTAAAGAATAATTTAATAATCTATAAAATATAAATTACTAGATTTACAAATGTAATTTAATGTAAATTTTGTTAAATAAAAATTTTGCATTCAATTTATTTTTAAATTAATATACGTTATATAACATAATAATTCTATTCAAAAATGTATTCTTTAAAAAAAAGTCATGATAAAAAATTATTTTAAACATGTATATATTAGTTTTTTCTTTTTGTAAGTACTCATACATGTTAATAAATAAATATTCAGTAATTTAAAAATACTATTAATAACAGTATTCATAAAAAAAATATTTTTTAAAATAATAAGCAAGTTTAAACAACATGCAGCAAATAAATATTATATTAAATATCATACTTACTTATTATAGGTTTTTTGAAGGATTTTTATATATTTACAAATGAGAAAATAAGTTTCTTCAAAAACAAAAAAGTTAAACCCCATTTTTTCAAAATTAACCCTTATTTTTCATTTTCCCTCTTTAAAAGTGTTGTTATTATTACTGGAAAGTTGAGATTTTTGGTAATTGTTTTGCATAAGTAAACAATTACCTGATTTTTTTACAACAAACTATGTAAATATTTACCTCTTCTTACTGGGTTCCCATATTACATATGGTACATTCTACGTGAGATTTTCATTAAAAAATTTCTTTTGACTTGAACATTTTTTTCAAAATCTTTATGAAAAATAAAAAAAAGGTATTTTTTTATTTGACAAAAATTATAGAAGTTATGATTTTTTGAAGTTTAATGTCGTCAGAAGCAGAGTACTTTTGAAATGTATTTTTGTCTATCATGGTAAGAGATAAAAAATAATATTATGTATGAAATTTGTTGGATTTTTGCTCAATATTTTAAATATGAAATAAAAATTAACGTAAATACTACGGAAGCATATAAAAAAATGAAATTAAATCTAAAAAGTGACTTTTCTCAAAAACGAAATGATCGATTTTTGATTTTTTTTTTCAAATCCATTCTCAGATAAGTAAGGAATTTTTTCCTTGTTATGACAACCTTAAATTTAAAAAAATCATAACTTCCATAATTGAGGCTCCGGATCTTAAATTCAATTAAAAAAAGACAATTCACAAAATACGTAACGCCTTTAATATTGTTCTATCTTTTTCAAATCATAAATTAAAGATCTAATATTTTCCAGAAAACTTCCTTACATATTAATAAAGATTTTTGTCACTAGAAGTTTTTCTAATTCGAAAATTCCTAACTCAACTTTTTCAATTGAATGTAAGAGAATCAGTTTTCGAGAAAAATTATTTAAACAATAAATACTCGGACATAAAATTTTTTGAAAATTTTTCAAACCAGCTGTCACTTTTAGAATAGTTTGAAGAATATTGTGTAAAAATATTCATATTTATCGAAATAATCGCGAGTTGAACACAAAAAATCATTAAAATTTTCGATTCTTAAAAATGACGTTTTTTGTAAATAAATAAAAAACGGTAAGTTATAAAAAAAATTTATTTTGGAAAAAAGATGTGCAATAAAATTCTCTTCAAAAAAAAAAAACAATAATTTAAATTTAATTTTGAACAATTTCAAAATTTTACCTCCAGGGCCCAACGTTTTTCACGAAAATCGCCACGTGTGCCCTTTTAAGATCCGGAGCCTCAATTTTTATCAAATCAAAAAATCAAAAAATTATGTATTTTCTTAGTTTTCATAAAGATTGTGAAAACATTTTCAAGTCAAAAAAATTTTTTTGAATGAAAATATCACCCCATATAGGGTTTTCGGCACTGTAAAATCAATTTTTTCATACGGTAAAAGTAAACATTAAAAAAATTTGAAACTCATACTTTGATTTTATTCATATTATATTTAACCTATAGCAGTAACTATTCCTCAAATTTCTTACCGATCTTTATGTGTTATAATTTTAAAGTCTAATTTTTAAAATATTTATTTAATACGACAAAAGCATGTGAGCGAATAATTAAAATAGAAAGTCTTTTATTAGTATAAAATGAAAGTTTTTAAAAATAAAATTTATTAGTGCAAATTTACTATTAAATGTTATTACACATGTTTATGGATTACAGAATTAAATCACTTAATGTAATACTTTTTCCACTATATGACATTTATACCAGCTGCTTGAAGATACTTTTTTAAGTGACTTCCATTTGGATCTGGTATTTGAAGTAAAATTTGTGATAATTGATCCAATGATAATTTACCCAGTCCTTGGGCCAAAAACATTCTAACATCGCCAACGGCTGCAAAAATTTATAACATTTGTGTTAAAATATAAAAATATTCACATATAATTAATTAATTATTAAATTATTAATTCTATTGTAAATTTAAAAAGAGACTTGTAATTTAGTATATAAGAAATTAATTAAATTAGAATTAAAATTTTTCGTCTGCCTATATTTCATGTCATTAAAATTTATTGATAAATTTATATTTTTGTAATAAATTTTTAAGAATTTAAAATTTATTAATTATTTGTTTATTTTTAATTACAAAATTATTACAGATTTTATTTAAAATAATTTTCAGGTAGGTACTGAATTTCTATTTAACATAATTTTTATTTTGAATAATTATAATTTAAACCAATTTTAATTTATTAAAATTATCATTCAACAGAATTTTAGTGATTCGAATTATTTAATGTCAGAATTTTTATTTACACGAATTGTCTATTTTAAAATTAGCGCCAAAATCTTTCTGACGTTTGTTTGTTCGACCATTTGTAATTTCGCTGTTGTAGGAATTTTATCAAATAACAATTCGTGTAAATAAAAATTCGAACAATTGTAGATTCGATAAATTAAAAATTCTAACATTAAACAATTTGAATAACTAAAATTCTGTTGAATGAGAATTCTGATAAATTAAAATTGAGTTTAATTATAATACTTTTAAATAAAAGATGGATAAAAAGAAATTTGTTAAAATAAAAATTATGTCAAATAAAAATTCAGTACCTAAAAATTATGTTAAATAAAAGAACCCCGCACCATATGCATGGGAATTTAGGGTCCGGTGAAATTTCTTACAACTTTGTAATTTTGTAGTTTTTGACCTCCTGAACAAAAAATGTAAATGGCAAAATTCAAAAAAATGGACAGATTTTTTAATAATTAAGATTTAAGTTTAACAAAAAGTGTTAAAAGCGAAAAAAATTCAAAAATTAGTAAAACCAAAAAAACTAAATAATCTTTCTTAAAACTCGATACTCGGGCGTTTTTGGGGTCGCTGATTACGAATTCGATGTCAATTTTTGAAAATCCAAAATGGCGGATCTAAAATAACCAACCAATTTTTTTTACTAGTCGTCTAGTAACAAGTTTTAAGTGAATAAAAATAATATCAGCGACTACAAAATTACAAACTTGCAAGAAATTTCACCGGACCCCAAATTCCCATGTATATGGTGCGGGGTTCTTTCGTTTACAAAGAAAGTAACTCAAATGCTAATTCGAGAAATAAAAATTCGTCTAAAAAGAAATTAAGTCAAATAAAATTCATTTTTATGGGATATTCATGCGCCCCGAGAATTGAAGGATTTTGAAGTTATATTAACTAGAGTTGCTAATGGTGATTTGTTTGTAATATTAACCACTTGAGCGTCATGGCGTTCCAACTGGCGTCGTGCGTGGCAGTGACAGAAGCGTCAAAAATGCATAAATGGCGTTCCTACTTGAATTCAATTTGTAAAGTCTGTAGACATAATTAACTAACTAGAACTTACTTTTTATATTTTTTTAGATTAAGCAAGACGTATGTGACACGAAAAAATTATTTTTTTAAACATTCAAACAGTTTTTTCGAAATTTAAAGTCGACAATTTTTGGTACTTTTTTGCGAATGGCGTTCTAACATTTACTCAATAAAATTATATTTCTGCTTCCAAAAACTGTGCAAAAGACCCAAATCTTGTTACTCGGGGATTTTCGGGATCGCTGAACATGAATTTGATGCCAATTTGACAATTTGACAGTTGACAGCTGTCAATTCGACTGTCAACTTCTATAAAAAAAACAATTATTTTTTATGAAAATAACTATATAAGGGTTTTCGGGGTCGCTGATTTCGAATATGAGATCAAATTGACAATTTGACAGTTGACAGCTGTCAATTCAACTGTCAACTTCTATAAAAAACAATTATTTTTTATGAAAATAACTATATAAGGGTTTTCGGGGTCGCTGATTACGAATATGAGATCAAATTGACAATTTGACAGTTGACAGCTGTCAATTAAACTGTCAACTTCTATAAAAGACAATTATTTTTTATGAAAATAACTGTATAAGGGTTTTTGGGGTCACTGATTACAAATATGAGATCAAATTGACAATTTGACAGTTGACAGCTGTCAATTCAACTGTCAACTTCTATAAAAGAGAATTATTTTTTATGAAAATAACTGTATAAAGGTTTTTGGGGTCGCTGATTACGAATATGAGATCAAATTGACAATTCGACAGCTGTCAAATCAACTGTCAAATTTATAAAAAGTGATTAATTTTAATGAAAATAATAGTATAAGGGTTTTCGAGGTCGCTGAATACGAATATGTGTTCAAATTGAAAATTTGATAATTGACAGCTGTCAATTTAACTGTCAACTGTCAAATTGTCAATTTGATCTGATATTCGTAATCAGCGACCCCAAAAACCTTTATACAGTTATTTTCATAATAAATAATTGTCTTTTATAGAAGTTGACAGTTGAATTGACAGCTGTCAACTGTCAAATTGTCAATTTGATCTCATATTCGTAATCAGTGACCCCAAAAACCTTTATACAGTTATTTTCATAATAAATAATTGTCTTTTATAGAAGTTGACAGTTTAATTGACAGCTGTCAACTGTCAAATTGTCAATTTGATCTCATATTCGTAATTAGCGACCCCGAAAACCCTTATATAGTTATTTTCATAAAAAATAATTGTTTGTTATAGAAGTTGACAGTTGAATTGACAGCTGTCAACTGTCAAATTGTCAATTTGGCATCAAATTCATGTTCAGCGATCCCGAAAATCCCCGAGTAACAAGATTTGGGTGTTTTGCACAGTTTTTGGAAGCAGGAATATAATTTTATTGAGTAAATGTTAGAACGCCATTCGCAAAAAAGTACCAAAAATTGTCGACTTTAAATTTCGAAAAAACTGTTTGAATGTTTAAAAAAATAATTTTTTCGTGTCACATACGTCTTGCTTAATCTCAAAAAATATAAAAAGAAAGTTATAGTTAGTTAATTATGTCTACAGACTTTACAAATTGAATTCAAGTAGGAACGCCATTTATGCATTTTTGACGCTTCTGTCACTGCCACGCACGACGCCAGTTGGAACGCCATGACGCTCAAGTGGTTAAAGCATGCTTTGTAACCTCAAGACAAAACAAGACTATGACATTTACTATTTTTTAAGATTTAAGCCGTTTTATAGTCATTAAAAAAGCAGCGTTCGCAAAATAAATAATAATAAATTTTGTACCATATTTAGAACGAATAGTAGAGAACTTTTAATCGGAAATTATTTTTGTTTAAATAAAGTGGCCTGAAGATGGTGTCAAACCAAGACATGGAAAAGTTGCAAAAAATATAATAGTGTTTCATAATATGCAACAACTTTAATTGATTTTTAATAAATTTAGTATAACTTACCTGTAAAAGGGTCTGCTTTCACATTTTTAGCAAATAGAAGCTGACTATAAGCCGCTTGATAACCTACATTATCATCAATTTCAGGAAATACTTGCTCTTCATTTACTAGTTGATCACCGTGTGGTGTCTCAAGTAATTCCACAACGGAAGCTAACAATTGTGGATAGAAAGAGGCATATGGAGGCTCCAACAATGCTGGACAATTAGTAAGTAAATTTGAGTAACCAAATACTGTAACTTTCCTCTCTATTTCACCGGTAACTTTTTGTAAATCGGAAATAATCACTCTCTCCAAAACCATACCAAACATTCTGAAATTGTAAAATTATATTTTTAGTTGCTTAACATTAAAAATTACATCTTTTTTTTAAATGCATTTATTATTAGTAGGCATGTTGAATGAGTTGGATGGGCAGAGTTAGTATCGGAGTGGTTTAAAAATCATTTTTGGATTAAAAAATCCCTCGATAAAGATACCAGCGTTTTTAATAAAAAGTTGTACAAATGTTTAGCTACTTATTTAATTATAGGAATTATTTGTTTTTGGTAAATTTTTTCTTATTATAAAAATGCAACTATACTTACTGAGACTGAATTTCATCTATGATTGCAATCAAATTAGGACCACCATATTTCAGGATATAGTACGCGAAAAATACAATGAGGCCCTTTACGAATTTCACTGTTTTGCTTGAAGAAAGCCTTTGGAAAAACAGCATGAAAACTTGCTTCATATAAGACTGTAGTGCTTCTCTGAAAGTAATAATAAATTTTTAATGTAAGAAACATTTTAATTTATGAAAAAAAAGATGGAATCTTTGAGGAAATGTCAAGAAAATTTTACTTCCTTATTTATTACTTAAGAGTCTGCCGTTTGTTTCATTTTATTTTATTTAAGTTCTTTGGATGCAACCAAACACTAGCGCAATTTAATAATACCAATAGATTCTCAGAATCGGAGTGAGAAGAATCTGAATTACAACTTGAAGGTGCTATTAAGTCTACTGGAGTAACTAAAACCAACAGCCTCTTATTTACAGCTGTTTGAAAATATTTTATATTATTTTATTATTCAGTACTCCGAAGCTCAACTTTACATGATCAATGATTAGTTGTATTTTCAAATGTAGTAAATAGTGTATCAACAAGTAAAGCATGTTGTCATTTGTGAAATTTGAATTTAAATAAAAGCGCCCTTTTGCAAATGAGAATGCGCCCTCTGGCGAGCAAAATCCAATGAACCGTAGAGAACGAGCAGCTGAGTGGCGCTCGTTCTTCACGTTACTGACATCCAGGTTGAAGGACACGTTTTTAACTCACTTTTAATAAATTAATTAAAATCTTATTTTTCTTTTGTCATAAAGATGTTAAGAAAGTTTGTTATGAAATTGGATACAATATTCGAAGAGGAATTGGTAATTCAATTTATTCGACTATATTAAATAAAAAGAAAAATTCAATAAATGTAAGGAAACACTATCGGTTTGTTGTCAGAGTCAGTAGATTTCAACTAAATATTATTTTTTTGTTTATTAAATTCTAAATAAGTTCGAGTGTTATTAATGTTATTTTTATTTCAACAATTTGGAATAATCTTTTTCATCAAATATTACAAGCATAAGATTTTACTTACGTAGGAAAGTGTTGAATTATGCATTGAATCAATAAGAAACCTTCATGATCATGAGCTTTTGATGCAATTAGTTTCTGGAACACTCCTAAGAGAGCACTAATTTTGTCTTGTGCAATAATTTGATGAGCTCCTTTTGAAATAAAAGCTTGTAACAATCTGTTTAATGGATGTATATTTCCTTGATATTCAAATAATACTGGTGCTAATAAACATGGAAATAGAGCCATGTATGGTTCAGGAACGTTTTGCTCAGTTCGTAACTCAAGAAGTAATGCAAGAATTTGAAAAACATACGGTATAAATTCTGGAACATAATAAAATCTAAGTTAAATCTAAAAATTAATTATTTCTAATTAGTGGAGCCATATAATAATTAGTTGTACAACAGAGCAAAGTGTAAATCATGGAACGTAATTGTTGAGGAGCGAAAATTTTTTAATACACTGAAGTCCACTCGTCCTTTAAAAGTCAAACAGGACCGTATGAATACACGGTCACAGCAATAGTATTGACATGAGCGGGAATATAGTGTACATTATTCTATTTAAACAATATTTGTCAATAACAGAAACTACTCCTTACGGTTCACATATTAATTATAAATTATTTTTTCTTAAAATATTCAAAATTATTTTTCATCAATACAAAAAATGATTGCACCAGTGGGGAATCATAAAAGATTATTGAGTCATTCCATTACATTTCGACTAAAATGGTCGCGGACTAATTTATATATGTCGTAGGTAGATAGCATATTTAAGTAGTATGCAAACTGCAATGTAAATAATTATATTGAAATGGATCTTAGCAGTCAGATGTCAACTGCCTAGGCGAATAAGATTTTTTTTTGAACAGGATTCGTTAAAAATTAGCTGAGTTATTGCAGTTTTTATGTTCATAGTTTATCTATATTTCGATTAATTTGAGACTTGAAATCCTTTGGGAAGTTACGCTGGAGAGGAAAAATGGGAGGTGTATACGTTTCACTAGCATGTTTACCTCCTCAAATATGTGCCAAGTTAAGAAAAGTGTTCGTTTCTGTAATTTTGAAAGCAAAATATATGAAAAAATTTAAAATCGAACAGTTACTTCGAAAAACTTTAGAGGATCTTAAGCGTTTGCATACTAAAGGTGTCAAAATAAAGATTGGAAGCTCAGAAATAGTTTTTTTCAGTGTATTCAAATTTTAAGAGATAATCTGGGACTAAATACAATTTGCGGATTTTCTTTAAGTTTTATGGCGAAGTATTTTTGCAGGATTTGTTCCGCTGCAAAAGAAGAATGTCAAGAAATGATAGAGGAGAATGCAGCTCTGTTACGCACGACAAAATCTTATTTGGAAGATTTGAAAAAAACAACTTCGAAGAGACGGGTATTAAAGAAGAATGTATTTTCAATCAATTCGAGAACTTTGACATTACTGAAAATATTTCAGGAGATTTTATGCATGACAGTCCGGAAGGGAATTTTAATTATTCAGTGTCAAAAATAATAGACGGTTTAATTTCTGAGAAATTAATAACATTAGAGATTATAAATAACAGGATTGAAAATTTTCCATACAACAATTTGGAAAAACAAAATAAACCACGTCTTCTTTTCTTTTCTCAAGGAAAAACAGACAAAAAAAATCAAAATCAAACAATCTGCATCTGAAATATTGTCTAACCCGATATTTTGGACTAATGATTGGAGACCTTATTCCAGTGGATAATCAGTACTGGAAACTGTATCTTGTTTTAAGAGACATTCCTGACATTCTAACGTCTCCGGTAGTTGATAGAGGACAAATGCAAAATATAAAGATGCTTATAATTAAACACAATATGCAATATTTTTAACTTTTCTGTAAATTGAAAATGCATATTTGGCTTCACTATCCGAGACTCATATTGCTGAATGGTCCTGTTGTTCATTATTAATCTATGAAATTTGAGCGAAAAAATAAAGAATTGAAAGAAGCTGCTCTTGGAACCACATCTCATATAAATCTACCGCTAACAATTGCCATAAAGTATCAATTAAAATTGTGCTATACATTAGAATTTTGTCCACCTATTCTGAACGAAGTTCTACTTGAACCGAAAATTAACTTAGATGCTCACAGTTACTTAAAGAATTTATTACCAAATTTATCAAGTGACATACAAGTAATGGCTTTAAAAAAAGTGGAAATACTAGGCAACGACTTTTCAAAGGGAACTATGTTTGTTACAAGAATAACTGACAATGGTCCTGCATTCGGAGTAATTAAAAACATTTTTTATGTTGAAAGTAAAAGTATTTACTTTGAAACTGAAGAATTTGATATAAATCAAATCGAGAATACCTCCTTGCCTGTTATGTAAAAAATTCGGTAGCCCCCTGTGGGGGCAGCCACATTCTCATCACGCGCTTCGCGAGTAGGGGCTCGCTTCGCTCGCCAGATTGAGCGCGCCCGGGGCGCGCGAAGGATGATCGTCCCGCTTCGCGGTTCGTTATAAATGCGTTAAATTAAATTATACAAATAGGTAAGGTTTAAAGGTATTAGAATAAATTTTTTATCGAGCAAAAAAAAAGAGAATGACGGCACTGCAGCTTATCAAACTTAATTCCTTAATTTTGCGCCCTGGATTGGCCAGGTCTTTGTAATTAACGAAAATCGACAAACCAAATTATTTAATAAAATGAGATATTCCGCTTCGAACTAATTTCAATTGAGTAAAAGAAAAAATTAATTGAAAATTTAAAAACCTTAAAAAACAGAACTTTAAAATAAATGCATTTTTAAAGCAACAAATTTATTATATGAGGTTTTGCCCTCATGTTTTTATTCATAAATTTTTTTTGGACAATTGATATAAGTGAAATTTTTGGTTTTTATAAATTAAATTTTATTTTCTTAAAGTACTTTGACTTTAAGGATAACATTCTCATCACGGCACTCGCGTTTCATGCTCGAAAATTAGAAACATACAATATGAAAAGTAGGCATGCATTAATGTGACGCATTTTCTTAGCTTTTTAATTTTTCCTTTTTCTTCCCCCAATTTTCAAGAACAATTCCTTGGACCATCGGCGACCCCAAGGAATGGTCCACAGGTACAAGTTAGTTGTTTCCGAGCCTACACCCAAGTAGGAACCTTTACTGTTAAATCTACGGACTAATTGTAAAGTTGAACAACTCTTTTAAATAAATGATTTGTATCTACGGATACATCTTTTTATAATAATAAAAACTACATGTTTTTTTAACCCGTCACATTTTTGGCGATCCTGCCAGGATAGTTCAATACGATTACGATCAAAAATCGGCTATCTTTGTGAGAACCATTGTGATAAATTTTTTTATGTGAAAAGTGACGGTTTATACGGTGATATTTTGACTGGAAATCACCAGAAAACACGGACTCGGGCCGAATTAAATAAGTTCGACAGTGATTCCGTGGGTATTAGTCCCAGAGAAGGTGAGGCGTCACCCAATTAAGTTGGCATCGTGGGATTATAAGCCTATAAATCAACTTACGAATTCCGCAAATCTAAGGACCACTTATAAGCTGAATTTCAAATTTGTAAGGACACATCTACGGATTTGTACAACCGAAGAAAATAAGCTCATGTCTAATTTATACGTATCTCTTGTTAAATAATTGTATTATTATATAATATAGACATATTATATAATATAAATAATTGTATTATATTGAATGATATTTGAAATTTAATTAATTATTTAATTAATTAATTATTTGTATAATATTTGGTATATTATTCTCGAATAAGCTAATTTTGACGAATTGATATATAAATTTTTAATATTACAATTTCTGAAATTTTTGCGTTTGTTACAAATTAACTGTGTTTTACATATACAAATAATTCTAATAATAACAATCATGTCGACGGTAGAGACCTCAGAGAAAGAACCCACTATCCTAGTCCTAGACCAAATTCTCGAAAAATTACATATCCTTTAAAGTTCACAAATCTCCATTCAAATGAGTATCGCGCAATTAAACAAAGAAAATTTAAAAAGGGTGGAAGAGAGTAAAAATCATGCACGCGATGAACAATTACTTGTAACAGAAGATGACGATAGTATAGGAGAAAATTCCAAGGAAACAGAACAAACGTATTTTGACTCTACGGGAGATGATCAAAAAAAGGTGCCTTATAATAACAATACACATTCCTTTCAAAAAAACAAGACGGAAAAGCGAGAGCGACCCCATATACCCGACTATTTTATGACCGAAGTTCCGGGCTCACATATACAGCGAGACAACCTTTTACCTGCCATAGAAATTATTCGAACAGTAGAAATTCTTAACGGGCGTGACGGCATTGGTACAGAAGATTTTATAAAAACTGTTCAACCTGCACAACAACGATGTTCACAACCCGAATTATTACTAGATTTTATATTAACAGAAAAAATAATTGAAAATGCTAAAAGATCAATTAGACATGTTTCAATAAACAATTATAATGAACTTTTTCAGGCACTTAGGACAAATTTGAGATCCGGTACATCCATTGAATTATGTCGCGCTAAATTAGATTCATGTAGACAAGGAAATGACAATGTCGAAACTTTTAATCAACGTTTCGGGAAATGGCTTAATGAATTATTTTACGCAATTCAATCGGAACACGCTTTGGCATATGAGCGAAAAGTAGCCTTGCAATTAGAGGAAAAAACAGCAATCAAGCGTTATATTATGAACCTTAGGGACGAGCTCGGTATTTAAGTTAGACCGTTGAAACCAAAGTCGTTCAACGAAGCTCAAGAAGAAGCTCTCGAAGCAGAATTATGGATTCGAGAAAAAATGAGGTTTGAAACACCTAACATGGTACGTAATCCACAACAAAGTCATATGTCACTGCGTCTAGTGACACCGCGATCCCCCGTAGTGAACAAACCAAGTGACCCGCATAACCATAATATGGCCCTCGCGCAGAGGATACGATTACAATGTGCCTTTTTTAAAAATATAGGGCATGGTGAATCGCAATGCTTTGAAAAAAACGGTAAACCACAAAATTTTCAATTGGGACAGAGAATAAAAAAAATCCGAGAGAGTAAATCTGACAGTGGAGGAAGTCCCAGAATCGAGCCATTGCGAAAACCAGGAAAGTTCACAGGAGAATCAGGACAACTGCCTGACAGAATATCCTATATATCAGGACGACTTCAGTCAGTGTTACTACGACCACGACAATTCTAACGAGATATCCGATTACTTATCGATACAGGAGCCTCAATAAATCTTTTAAAATGACTTGCGTTCCCCACTATTTTAAACAAATTAAACAAGAAAAGGA